AGGTGTTGATGTATGATATGGGAGAACCTGTGGCTGTACTGGTTAATTAATCTAGTTGTAAGGTCATTCCAATTTCTGTTACATTGTGTGCCAGCGGTAGGGGGTTCATTCAGGTATTTGGATGAATTTCTTTTGAATTTGTGAAGGTTGCAATTTTCAAGGATAAGCTGGGTGTTCAGTTGCTCTTCAACTAAAGATCCCCTCCAGAAATTAAGTTACAGGTAAAAATAGTCTTTTTTCCGCAAAAGAAGTATAATTTCTGAATATGCAAAGTTTTTCTGCTGAACACAAGATGTCTCCTACTTCACTGTAAAGTCCACTCTCAGTGGATGTGCACTAGTGGCTTCATCTTTCTACATCACACTGTACAAGTTGCATACTGGACCAGGACTGACTTTCAAACTATTTGTGATGTCACAAATTATGCTGGTAAGCCCCGCCCCTTAAAAATCACATGTTCAATGAGCACAGAGAAACTTTCCACTTTCAGCAGATGAACATGAAAACATCCTTCTAGAGTCAAACATCACACTGTAGGGACAAGACGAAACACTGATTTCTGACTGGAGGGGGCTTGATAAGTTGAAAACTTATCAAACAACATTGCACAACTAAAGATGCCATTACCCACAGAATACTGGGGCTTTCTGTTCACTGCCAGCGTCAGGTTGGCACTGATCTCAGAGACTTTTGTTCTCATCTGTTGGCTTATCTGCATGTACTGCATTATGTGTGCTTAGTTGTTAGCTGCTTGTGAAATATGAGTAAACATTCAATCTTAAATCTGTTAATAAACACTATCTAATAAACACCCATAATAGCACAGCATGTAACATTTAGCTTTCAATTCTGAATGTGTTAGTCAAATGAGTAATACAGCCAACACTGCAAAGATCAGCACTTGAAAACAACAGCATACAGTAGATCCAGAAATTGATTGGTCAGTGGTTGCCATCCAATGTTTACTTTGTCTGGGCAATGGAGTGAGACAGAGGCTTGTAGAGAGAGCTCCAGCAGTTCCCCCCATCCACACATCAAATGGGTTCCTTCTCTTTCTCCTTAGTTTACACTGACCAGTCACACCAGCGTAGCCTCTCTTGGCTTCTCTGCTGCACTCAGCACCAAGCTCCTCCTCGACTAGGGACCACATAAAGCTGCTTGGCTATTTTTATCTTAGCAAGACAGGCTTACTGTGACACTCCAACAGAGTCAAAAAAGAAAGAAGCTACTTTAGGTTTTCTCTAACTCAGGTTTGGAGACTGAGGAGACGAGAGCACGACAACATTAAGCCAAATCAAACTAGTAAATCTTTAGACAAAGTCCATTAGGTAAGAGTTTCCTGCTTTGGATGCCAGCAGCAAATCAGAGGGTTTAAGCATCAGGGTTGTTGTACTCATGTAGCTGGCTCATTAGATGGGTATCGATCACACTTCTCATTAGTACACTTGTCATGAGCGGGTAATTTGTTCCCCTCCTGAGTCAAAATTGAATTTCCTCTTCGCCTTCCGACCCTTAGTTCATCTTTAGCCATACAGCCAAGCAGCTTAGGGCTTTGTTTCCTGTTTGGTAGTACATCAATGTGACCCTCTTCATATCGACATAGTGACATAATCAAGACCTACACACACACACACACACACACACACACACACGCTGACCGTAGCTGGCCAGGTGAACCATGGAAAAAGGTATTAATAACAGCAGATATCAACATCTGTAAAGATGTGAGGATAATTACGACTGTTCTATACTGCAACTGTGATGATTTTCTACAGCTTAATACTTTATAGCTTTACTTAATAAATAAGCACAAACTTATCTTGTTTTTTTGTGAAAATATTGCTTTAAGATTATGTCCCGTGTTCTTTCCCCAAACCAATTACTTTAAATCTGCATTATTGACAAGTTTTGGCCACTTCTGGGGTCATTGCGACAAGCTGCAAACACAACATGGACATATTACAGGATAAAGTCATTAAGGCAAATGTGGTAGCAGAAAATTGCCTAATTACACATCCAACAGAAAACACTTGCATTCATGTCGAGTTGTATGTCCTCACCCAGCAACAAATTAAAGTTCAACACAGTCAAAGCACACTGGGGATTTTTTTGTGCAGTCTGTGCTGTAAATGGTCACAAATTATTATAAGAGGACATACATTATTAACTTTGTGCAAACATGTTTTAATTTGCCTTATCAACTCTTACTTAAAATGTACAACGGCCAATCAGAATGACGTTCTGCTGTACAGCTGGATATAGGTGTCACTGGGGAATTTGCTCAGGCTCATGGAATGTTTGCTAATAGCTGGATAGATTGAGAAATCACAGAAACAGCTGGAACTTTAAATAACAGCAACAACAGGTGCTGTGAGGATGGAGGGTCACTACTGGCTGATAATGCTACCTGTAACCTGCTATAATGCTCAAGCAACAGCTGAAACACGGGCCAGGACTGATATAATGGACTACTAAAAGCATGCTTTAGAAGCATTTAGAAAACATGCTAAGGAAAAATATCACGTTGAAGCCAGTGTGACAGCTGATTGGTACGTTACCACTGTGTTTGGACGCAAGCACATAGCTTGAAGCCTGGCAAGCTGGATTCTCGTGTGATCTTGTGATTTTGTGATCTCATGAGTCCAGCTGCCTTGCAAGGTTAGCCGTTGTGTGCTGTAAAACCAAATGATCTGAAAGATGCAAAGATGTTCTGTAGAACTGAGAGGAAGTGGAGAGTCGGGTGATAATTATCTGTGCCTTCATCACTCCGTTTGTTGCTGTCTTTAAACTGCAAAAAGTCAATACATTGGTGTTTTCTTCAACAAAACCATTGTTGGCCAAGTATACATCAGATCAGCCGGGAGACAGACAGGCTGTTAATTGGCAGTTGACTAAATGGGGATGATGGTTGGAGTGAATAATTCTTCCACCTCCGTTTGCTTGTTAGGACATTATTAAAGTGTAACTAGACCCTTCAGTTCTGTTAGCTCCCTCCCTCTCAACAAATTTAAGAAATGCATCAGAGACCTGCAAAGGACAGTGACTTAAGGGGGCGTGGCTTCAACACAGACCGGAGTGACTGACAGACTGAACACAGCAGCGCAACAGGAACAGCGAGCTGTTAGTTGGAGCTAACCAGCAATGAGAAGCTGCTGTCAGACCCTCTGTGTCTGCGCTGAAAACACAGAGAGCCCGCTGGAGCTTTTACAGTCACTAGAAGCACAGTCTCGGCCATTTGTAAAAGTTGTGTGGTTCTGTAATTTAGTTTACAACTCAAAAAACACTTTAGGGTAGAGTACCTCTTTAATCGTGTGTTGGTGCCTGATAAAGTCATTCCTTTTGCTGTTTGAATATTACACTAATTTAAAACACATCAGCCATATAAGGGAGAGTTTTCCAATTTGTTCCTTTTAGGCTTCGATAGACTGTAAATTCCACTGTGTAATTATTTTTCCAGTCCTGTACTGATAAAGGACAGCAGACATAGGAAGTATTATCCTCAGCCCCTCTTTCTTTATCCTTTCCGTGTAAACTGACATTAAGCAAATGACCTAAATAGACCACAGGCACCGTTAAAGGCTATGCGGATGAAATCAGGCTGGTTGGTGTGGAGGTGGGGCGTTGCGTGTGGTCTGAATTCCCTGCGAAAGCTCTGCCCTGCTCCGGGTGGGGTGTGTGTGTGTGTGTGTGTGTGTGTGTGACAAGTATGACGGGATCTGCATGGAAACCCAGTGGCTCGACAAGGCAGTGCAGGCATCCGTGACTAAAGCACGGGGCTGCTAAACGGCATGTCACGTCTCCTGATGTCAGCATCCCTGTGGATGTGTGCAGCCAGAAACTGGCCAACAGGGGGGAATTAATTCCAGGACATGCACCATGTGAGCCCCATCAATTCACACCTACTGCCCAGGGCCCACACAAAACCCCACTGTCAGTTTGTAGTCCTCTTGTTCCGACTGAAACTGCTTTGGGTCAAGTAATATTTGCAAAGGAGACGTCAAGAAAATAAAATTAAAAAAAATATATAAAGCACGAATTGGACTGCAGTTTGAGTTGAGAAGGAAAACAAAGTCGAGGCAAAACACTTTACATGTTCCATGTTTGAAGGACACCCAAAAACAGAGAGGATGTGGTGATTCTCTAACTGCACATCCATACATTGATGCTGGAATTGTCGATGCAGTTTCTTTTCATTTTTTTTTTTTTTCAGTAGGTTTTGTCATTCATCTATCTATTCATTTTAGCTTTCTTTTTACTTTCACTTTTTGATTGTTGTTGATTTTGAAATGAAAACAGAACACATTTTTAATGATGTGTTTTGTGATTTTAACACAGAGCACTGAACACAAGGTACCCACATACAATGTAAAAGCCAGTTTAGCACCAGTCCCATTTATTTGGGAAAACTTGTAGATTTGCTTAACAGTGCATGAATTTTCAAAAGCTTCAACTCAGTATTCATTTGAAATACCTGTTGTGACCAGCAGGGAATTGGCTGTGTGCAGCTTTTTTAAATGAGCTTTTGTTTTATAGCTTGTTCCTCGACAGTAGTCTGCTGGAGAGCAAGTTACAGCCGGCTGCGTGTTTGTTATGACTGTACTGAACTTGTTGATTCCCAGCATGAGATTGGCTCCTGCAGGCACCGCAGACACCAGTTAGCTACACTGTAAAAGCAGGAAAAGGCTCAATTAGAGAGTTTTCCTTAAAATTGTAGACTGAAGTTAAATGGGAAAAAAATAACCAGGATGCCCTCAGCAAAATGAGCCTGAAAGTTCTGTCTCAGCAATGCAGCTCTCTACAATACTATTCCTCATGCAGTGTGTAATGAACTGCATCTGAAGTGCAAAGGCCTCTTTAAGAAGCACAGGATTTCAAGGACGCAGATGAGCCCAAAGAAAACATCATATTCTGTGAAGTGTAGCATTTAGCCTGGCAGCATTAATAGTTAAAAAGGGAAATAGGCTCCGTTGCTGCAGTGAACAGGAGCGTGAGCCACTCACTTGTTTTGGTGCTTTGAGCCCTGCAGATGTGCGTGGTACTGTGCCACCGAGTTCAGTGTGACGCTGCAGACTTCACAGGTATAGCTTCGTTTCAGACCTGGAATCAAACAGAAACACATATTACATGAGCAAATTTGGGACATGATTACACCTCAAAAACAATGTCCGCAGTGAGGAATGTAAATAAAAAAACATCTGACATTTACTGATCATTATACAGTTGTAGGGTTTTCACTCAGCATGCAATCAGAACAGAATCCATCAAACAGAGACAGCCCTCCTGCAGAAACATTTCCTCCACACAGATATATTTCAGTCTCACTGTAGGTGAGTATTCCTCTGTGTTTTCAAGATTGCCATAGCTGATAGAAGCTGGAGTGAAATAAATCAATTAGAACCAGATAGACAATGAAATGTCACGCATTTCAAATCCCAGGGAAAGAAATTTCACAGCTGAATCTGAAAGTTACTTGGGACACACGTATGCCTCAGTTCTTTTCTAGATAGAGAAATTGAAGGGTGGCAGGATGATTTGCTAAGAATGGCTGATGGTCCTCCAATCTAACCTCAAGCTCCCCCTTAAGCCTCTGTTTAGATCAGCATCAGCCCCATGTGATTCCAAGAAATGCTGTTTTCAGTCTGAACATCCAGTAATCTCTCTTTTAAGACCCAGCTCAAGTTAAATAGACATCAGCTGTGTCAAAGTAGTGCCAGAGTTCTTGGATGTGATTCAAAACTAGCGTTTTCTATACATTGTTTGACTTGATCTGAAAATGAATTTTCTGTTTTCCTATCTTTTCCCCAAAATTGCTCTGATAAATCAAAAAAACTGACAATGAAGTTGCAGATTGCAACCATTTGTATACAGCTCATCCTTCCAAACGTGTAAGAGAAACTAGGTGTAGGAAACATGGTGGTTCAACATGGCGGACTCTATGGAAGGTGACCTGTGGCATCTGTATATTCAAAACGCTCATTCTAAGGTTACGAAAACACAATTATTTCCAGGTGATTACTGTACTAAAGTAAAATAAAATGCATTCTGGTGGGAACATGAATGCCTGTATGACATTTCATGGCAATCCATCCATTAGCTGTTGAGATATTTAGTGTGAACCTCATGATGGCGCTAGAGGAAAAGTTGGGGTCATGGGGCCATCCTCTTGGCCCCATGAATAGTAAACGATCCAATAGTTGAGATATTTCAGTCCAAAGTTGACTCAAGCTGGCTGTGTTGCATGCAGCTTGTCAAATCTCCAGTGGCTGGTTTTAGAACAGCCTGTCGCCTGTTTCAGTCAGTTACAATCTGTCCGCTGGTCAAAGGTTTTGAACGGAGGAAGGAGAGGATCACCTCATCCATTTGTTTGACAAAAGCCTTAAAATCTACCCATGCACCCATGGACGGCACCAAATTACTGCAACTGTGGCAAGTAACTAACTACTATCACTATCACTATCCACATTAAATTTTTTCTGGGCGGAACTGGGCTTTATGGTCATAGGTTTTGGCACTCTTCATTGTTAATCTGCCAATCTACAGTATAAACAGCTATGAAATAACAAAATATTATCAGACAGGAATCCCTGAGATCAAAATATGAGTCAAATATGGGTCAGCGGCTTGATGTGTATCCATTTGGGAGTCCTTGACACCAAAAAGGTTGAGAACTACTGTTCTAGAGCCATGTATTTTTAAAAAATCTATTTAATGGCAAAAAGTAAGAAAAAAAGTCACAAAAGTCATAGTTGGGATTAAAGAATCATCACATACAGTAGACCTTGAGTCGTCTGATTTATTTGGAATCAACAAAATCTAATAAGCTGTCTAATTTCTTAAAAATGGCACATCAACAATGTCCTCAGTGTCTGTGATTATGGTTGTACTGAGTCAGCGCCCTGTTGCTGCAAATTACGAGCACCCTGTGTAATCGCTGTCGTGTTGTACTAATCTTATTGTGGTATGAAAAATGGCTGTCTTCATTGCCTCGCTCTCACAATTGAGTTAACTCCTCCATAAATATGCCTCAGAGCTAAAGGCCAAGAGAAAATAAATGTCACCATGCACTCATTGAATCACATTTCCATATCCTCTTCAATCAAATCTACCCTATGAATGATCATTTACTCTGAATTGTCACACCAAAGAATGAGCTGCTTAAACTTAGAAAGTATAGTTATTTACTACTTTCAGGGTATTGGCAGGTGAGAATTTGCCATTTGCGAACAACTTACTTCTCAGAAGTTTATGTCAGCTGTTTCCTTCTAATATTTTGATGGAGGGCAATGTTCCCCAGAGAGAAAAAGGCAAATCTCTCCCTTTCACTTTTCTCCTGATAAGCTGTACAATAACCACTCTGTCAGTCAGCAGCCACCAAGATTGAGATTTCAATTTTGCGAAGCCGTCCCCAGACGCAGTCATGAGCTGACATTAAAGTTCTGTGGCAGGCGGTGAGGGTCTGCTCTGCAGTGGCCCTTTGACAGCTTGCTTCTCAAACAAGTTTTGAAAGGGTGAAAGATTATAATGCGGCCCTGGTATCCATCACTGCCAGCCACCTGCAGCTCTTCCCTCGTGGTGCTGCCCTGCATGAGCGATGAAGCACCGGGGAGCCTTCGGGCCTTTGCAGTGCTTCCCCTCGATCACCTTTACTTCCTACTTTCTGTGGCATCACCAGCAAGTCATTGGAGACTCGTTTGTTTTGGTTAACTTGTCTCTTACCCGAGAAAAAAGAGGCAGCTCAGGAGAGCGTGAGGAAGAAGAAAAATGTGCTCTGCAGCCTCATTTATTTGGGTTAAGTTGGAATTGTGTAAAACCTCAGTCACAGGTTGTGGAGCTGATGCATGCAATGGAAAATCCTATCTGATATCTTATATCTTCATTTGATCTTAAAGTCACAGAAGTAACTTTTAAGAAAGTACCGTACAATCAAACTACAGAAACAAAAGAAAAACAATACATGTGAAAAGAATTTCACTGAATGTAATGACCATCTGTTCATCTCAGCTCCTTGTTGAACTGAACTGATGCTGGCTCCCAGTTCCTCAAGAGTGAAATTACTGAGAAGAGTAATGCTAGCATTAGCAGCTAATGCTACGTCTAACTGTCCCCAACTTCCTTCTGGTCATGTGCTGTTGTATTTACAGGGACGTGTCCATAGTAAAGTTGTCAAAAGAATCAATACTTTTTTGGATACAACGTGTTTAAAATGATACCAAACTATCATTCCATAGTATCAAAAGTGCTTAAGATATAAACCACACATCTACAATCATATTTTCAATCCAAGGCTGCACAGATGAAACTGAAACTGGGAGGAAAATCAATTGCTCCTCAAAGTTTTTATTTTATTTATTACCCTGAACAGTAATAATAATGTTAATTACTGTTACAAATTATCACAAATGTGCCTATTAGCAGCACTCAGTCTACCGCTTTTTAGTGTAAAAGAAACCCACTCCTTAAGGGCTGAAAAGTGTGTCCCTGTTTACATTTCTAAATCGACTAAAATTGAGGAAACTGATTTATTTTAGTCAAACTTTAATTTAAAACAAAAGTGAAAATACTGTATGGAATGTACTGGAGTGAGTTGCAGTGAGCTAAAAATGTATCTGTATTGTTTTTTTAGATGATTGTGGATTATATCGTCTGGGAGGGATAGAAATGCCCTTAAATGGAACAAAAAGTCCCTTTCACTTTTGAATTCTTAAAAGCACCGATGGAAAGTTACTGTAATAAACCACAATGCAGTCTAATAGAAGAACATGGTAGCCGCTAGCTAGTCTATATCTGGCACACTGGCCTGCACACTGGCTCACCAATAAGCCACAGATTGGGGTGCTGAGTTGAGTTATTTCATTTGCTCTGCAGTAAATCTCTAGTTGTCTCTCAGCTAATTGAGACCTATTGCCAGAGCCGTTGGGAGGGAACATGGTGGCGGTATGACTGATCAGCAGTGCAGTCCTCTGTGTGGACTGTTTATGAGCAGGAAAAAGGTGGTGCAGGTCCAGGGTTCATGCTAAATTAACCAGCAGCCATCTGCCCCACTCAGATGGTGCAAGTTAAGCTCATTCCCCCTCTGATTGCAGCAGGGCGCCCGGGCTGAAAGAGCATATGCTAAATCTGAATCCATATGAAACAAATTGTTTGCAACTGTGGGATATATTATAATGAATTGCTTTGTGAAATGGACATTCAGAATGAAATCATCACTCAAAGGTGTTTTCAACCCCTTGAAGCAATAAAACAGGCATGCGCACCAAATCGGGGATAAGATTGGTGTCTGAAATTGGACACAGTTATGAAATGGGCAGTTGGTAGAGATGTAATACCTTGATAAGAACAGGCATTAACTGGAAACAAATGGCCGGCTTTCTGCTGGTCCAATCTAGTGGTTAAATTGAACCAGTTAGTGTACACAGGGACAGATTTTGCCCTTTGTCTCTGCTTGAAGAGGACCTTGATCGGCTCATTGTAATTTGCCAGGCTGGCATTAATTGGTCTATTTTAGGGTCAGGGGGAGTGGAAAATATAATACGCAGCCAGGAGCAACAGCTTGACAACTGCAATTGGAAGGCCCCATTGATGGGGAGAAAGAGGGAGGCAACGTGCTAAATCACATCTGCCAGGAACGCATCTCCGATTAACGGCTATGATGGAGTCTGGAAAAACACAATTTGTCTGTCGGGGTGTTTGACAGGCTAGACTAGGGTCTAAATTTAGTGTTTTGGAGGGTGCACTGACAAAACAGCACTCTGTCTGATTTTGGCAGCTACACAAGGAATCAAAAGAAACTGAGTGACCAATATAATGAGAAAGAGGGAGCCGATTGCTGCTTGATCTATGAGAACATGACTGACAGTAGAGTTCAGACAGCGTGTTATGAGTCTTTTTTCTTTCATGGAATCGAGAGGCCAGGTCGGCCAGGTTGAAACAGCCCTCTCCTATGTATACACTATTGAACTACATCGCTCTCTGGGTAGTTTTGCTATCAAACTGCATTATGGTTTAAGTCTCTTAACAGGCACCTTCTTCTTAGTGCAGAAGCCTGGAAATGACATACCTAAAATGAAAGTCTCCGTCAAATACAGACACGATCCTGT